AAGAACATACCGACCAGGGCCTACAGCATCTCCCCCTCCCCCAACAGCGAGAAGTACGATGTTACTTAAGCCATCGTCCGCCATAACGGATCCGCAGACAAATGAAATGATATATGGTCAAATTTTCATTCGTACTCGTCACGCGCCAAGTACGACGTCGCGCGCGGGAGATAAAGTGCTTCTCCTAACAGCGGAAGGAAGTGTTGTAGCACTGAAGAGACAAACTGAGTATCGTCTGTTATATAGACTTCCGTTCTAACCGCGTTCGAACTGCGAGGACACTGCGGTTTATCGTGTATAGCAGCAGCCGGTTGGCAGTGAAATGTCCTTACAAAGGTTTAACTGCACTGTGTATGACGCGGTTATTAAAATTTCCGACAGAGGAATTGGAATGTGACGTAGTGCTGTGTGACAAGCCGCAATGAATAATGACGCACATTTAGTCGCAGACGAACGTGCAAGCCGTGACGTCGTGTTTATATTAATTGACTTATTATCCTTTCAAGAATTGACACTCGGGTTTTTATGAGAAATTAATGCTCCGGCTGTTTTGCTGGTGCTTTTTGGTGCAAGCCAGATGCTGCCTTGGTTTAGTTACAGAATATATGCAGCGTCGGGGCTACTGCTAAAAATCACCAACGGAAGAAGTTATAGTATGAGCTCAACTCTATCTCTTAACAGATTAAGTAAGCTTATAGAATGGGCCAGACACACAATAAAATACTGATTGAACTGGACATCTTAATACGACGTAATTATCATTCCCGTTTTTGCGCATGCGCAACTGTTTTCGCAGTTGGTAAGCGCGACTTCCGAGTTCAAATTGCAAGCGCATGTGCAAAAACAGCCTTACGGCCTTGAATTAGATTTAATAAGATATCTACCGGGGTCCGTTACTAGCAATATCGTTCCTCATACGCATTCAACTATGTTTGTGAAGCCACATGGTTGCGGTGTTTATCATATGAGGCCATGTAAACGTAGTACGTATCACAACTATATTTTCGTCCGACGCCCCCTCGTCTTCACATAAGCACGGCCGAGCACACGGACAACAATAAAAGCGCGCAGTCGACGAAAGTTCAAATCTAACGGGAAATCAGACGTGAATGTACAGAACCACTACTATATTTCTCTGCCTGCAACAACAGCATCGCCAATGGCAACCGGGATGTGGTGATCGAAGCGTTCCCCTGGTTTTATGCGCTCTTCAAGATACTAAATTGCTATTCAGTAAATCTTACAAATCGTGTTGAGAAATGCTACGAAGAAGACCAACATGTTTACTATGACTAAAACTGCAACAACAGTATGCACGCAGAATCGCTACTCAACGCAATGGAACATGAAACGAAAGAACTTGGGTGCAGAATTCATATATAAACGGTTAAAATACGTACGGTAATCGCTGAGTGCTGATAAATTATATAAACTAAAGAGTCGAATTGTGCTAAATATGGATAATATCAAGATAATATGTTTTTGTGCTGCGGATATACGCTGATATACGAATAGCAGCAAACTAACAAATATCAAGCGCGTTCACTCGGCAGTTTCGTGCGGCAAGACAATAAACATTACTGTTCGCAACAGTAAAAACGCCCGTGTTTATTTATACTGACACTCGAAACGCCTGTTATTTTAGGAATATATTCGTTACAAACGAATTGGACTGAAAGGGCACGTGATGGCCAGTGACTATAGAGTCGATCCCCAATTACTAGCCTGCGAATTTATTACGCGGTATTATGTATGAAAATGAATTCCGGTGGTTCTAAAACTGTAAATATAATTTGGCGGTTCACATCCAGAAGCTATTTGAAAATGCATCTATTCTTATCACAAATTGTGCAAATTATCATGTTCGCTGTTGTGCAAATTCGCTCGCTGCGCCCGGCCCCGAGGCTCGGCTGGCTATATGTCTATACCAATAAAATGATAATATCAGGAGTATAGATAATAGAAGATTCTTTATATTATCTAGATTTTCGATTCTTGATTTTTTGATTTTCGATTTTCAGATTTTTGATTTTTGATTTTCTAATCTACCTGATATTTGATTCTTCTATTATCTACTCCTGATAATATTTACATTTAGGTCCGAGATACCATTACGCACAGCTTTGTGGAAATATATTGCATGATATTATAGCTAGGAATTGGAATGATCGAGTGCCAACTATCGTTCTATTCGATATATTCGTGACGACTAAACTTCGTGTTTGACTACGACACGTCGCAATCCCGCTTGCTAGCTATTTTCAATGACTACGTTCCACCATGTATTCAATCCATGACTACGTTCACACTATCTAACTCTGTTCAACATGCATGACGGTGTGAATACGCTATGCACGTTTGATATAAATATTTCAATGTTTCCGATAAAAAGCCGATATATGTATGCAGCGCATAGGCCTTCGAGGCATGGGGGATTTCAGTTAGACGGTGAGGACAAGCGCCTTCGCGAGTGCTCCGCGAGCAAGGTTTGATGGACACTGCAAATAGCATTTCGATAGACGTACGCTCCTCCGGGTATTGATGGATATTGAACACAACACCCCCACTAAAAAAAAACCGACTCGATACTCAGTTTTCTTCTAATGTGTGTGGGTTCAAAATAAAAAAAACTGTCGCGGAAGGCGGAAGGCTTCCGCTGACTGTTAACGAAGTAATTTGCGTCGGCGTTTGGTAATCAAATGTAGGGGTCTTCAAAAGCTCTTAAAAGGTTGTAAGGCGCTTAAAGGGTTGCAAAGCTCTTCTTTTCCACTCGCTGCTGAAACGTGGGTTAACACTTTATGAGAATTGCGCTAACAGTCATCAAACTCAGCGACATGCAGTGAACTGGCGTCTAGAAAAACATGTAAATCGAGGAATATCGTTTCTAGCAAAGCCATATACACAAGCACGAAAAATATATGGATGTCAATTCGTTTCGCAACTTATAACTCTTCGTCAGGATATGTTCAATAAACGCACACTTCTCATACAACGCAATATAGCACCGATAGATCTATATGCAAGATGATTTATGGCCTATGTGCATCCGTGGCAGGTCAATTAATTGAGAAAAAAATATCAGCGAACTGCAGTTAGTATTGCGCGTAATAAGATCCCGAGGAAACTGTGATTTCTCAACACGAATAATGCCACGCCGTCGAGAAAGCGTTGTGGAGGTGAATGCGTGTAATGCAGTCGAAACATCGGGTGAAGAAAATCTGATCGCGCGCTACATGTCACACCGAATTTGACACAACATGTATGTTTAAAATGCACACATGTGCGCTCGTCTGTCATGCTGTTAAATCGTGCCACATGCGAGGCAGATTAAAGACTCGAAGAGGAGGGACGCAGCTAGCGGCACGGAATAACAACCCAGGGAAGATACGCAGGACGGGGGGGGGGTACCCAGTAACAACACGCGAGGTGGTCGTGGTGATGGTGGCTGCTATCAACGAAGGAGGGGGTACGCAGGGAGGGGGTACCCAGTAACAACACACGGGGTGGTGGTATTGATGGGGGCTGCTACTAACAAACCAGCCGGGGTGCACCGACGACACTCACAAACAACCGCGTGGAGGTGGTAATGGATCATGGACCACGTGGGTACCTGGGCAGTGAATCAAAAAGCTGATACACTCATGGGGGTACACCAACTAACCACCCAGAAAGTGGTATTTATGGAACTACGCGGCGTACCCCCGCTAACAATCCAGGCGGGGAGCTCGAGGGGGCACCAATACTAAGAACTGTGGTGGCGCGATGGTATATTCATGAGAGGTAACTACAATAAAACCGAACAAACCGAACTGTGTGTGTGTGTGTGTGTGTGTGTGTGTGTGTGTGTGTGTGTGTGTGTGTGTGTGTGTGTGTGTGTGTGTGTGTGTGTGTGTGGTGTGTGTGTGTGTGTGTGTGTGTGTGTGTGTGTGTGTGTGTGTGTGAAAGAGTGTGTGGTGTGTGTGGTGTGTGTGTGTGTGTGTGTGTGTGTGTGTGTGTGTGTGTGTGTGTGTGTGTGTGTGTGTGTGTACGTGTGTATGTGTGTGTGTGTTTATGTGTCTCCTTCAACCGGCCTGATTCTAGGAGTTTAACGATTTCTTCTTGCGCCGCATGTCGCATCGTGTCATTAACAGCCGGAGGTCATACACAGGTCAATCATTAGTCGTGTATGCCCCCCCCCCTGAACCCGTAGCACGCTACTGCGCAATGCAATTACCCGCACTCGCGAAGCATGTGCGTTATCTAAAACCTTCACCTAGATTATATAGTATCTCTTTGTAATAACGCATAAGATGACAAACGTACGCACGCGGCTACTGCGGTTACGAAACGTCAAATATAGTAGCGAAAGGACGTTGCGACGTTAAGTACAGATGTTCATTACAGCATAGAGAGAATCGGCGTAACGTTATAACCAGCTAGCAGGATGTATTACAGCGTCACAATCATAGCACTCTCAAACCTATCGTTCCCATCTTTTACAGTAAAAATCGCCGCGAGTTGTTGTCGTCAGCGCTTGGCCATGCACAGGCAGCAAGAACAAGCCCGCACGTACAGCATACACGCGGCCATTGACTATATATATTACCTATATTATTATATTATATTATTATATTATTTAATATACGTTAATAATAATAATATATATAGTCAATGGCCGCGTGTGTGCTGTACGTGCGGGCTTGTTCTTGCTGCCAGTGCGCTTGGCACCTCGTCAGCTAAAATGTGCCCAAATCTAAATACTAGTACTACGCAGCCTGTTTCTAAATAGTAGCGGGCAGAAAGGGACGGACACACGCAGCTAGCTGTTTCTAAACAGTAGCGGGGGCAGATAAGGACGGACACGCGCAGCCTGAACAGGTGGCCGGCCGGCAGGCAGGCAGGCTACGTACGGCGCCCTGTGCCGACTGCATGCGTAATACTTGGCAAAATATTATTACGGCATGAATCAACAGCGGCGACGGCTACTGATACGCGCATCGGTTACGCGCGCGTGTACTCACCATCGAGAAAGAACAGAAAAGACGCAGCGAGCAGCACCAGTGAGAGGTATAGGGAAGACCTAGTCGTACGCATATCACCGCGCGGCCCACACATTCCAATTTGATTGACTTCACATCCGCCTGGACGCACTTATCTCCTTCTTCTCTCTCTCTCTCGCTCTCGCTCTCTCTCTCTTTCTCTGCGTCGACGGTGTACGGGGGTGAATAATGATCCAGCCGTGAGGAGCCGTGTATGGTGAGGATCCGGATTCCGATCAGGCAGGAGCGATCCCCGCCGGCCTGTGGGAATGACGGCCGAGCTGCGGAAATCGCACGTGAGTCGCTGATGCGGAGTGCCGTATATCTTCGGTTTCACACTTCCGTGTCACGCGAGAGCGGCAAGCGCCGTGTACGAGCGCTAGGAGTACACGCGCGCGTGTACAGCGCAGACCGCGCGCATTTTCGTGGCCCGACGACGCACTGTGTGTGTGTAGGTGTGTGTGTGTGTGTGTGTGTGTGTGTGTGTGTGTGTGTGTGTGTGTGTGTGTGTTTGTGTATGTGTGTATGAGTGTGCGTGCGCGTGTGCGTATGCGTGCGTGCGTGCGTGCGCGTGTGTGTGCACGCGTCTAATCGTCCCTCGTCACTACGGGCGGACGTTGAGTCGTTGTTGTGATTGCGCCCGCAGTGCAGCGCGTCGTCCGTTGTTGTAGTACGGCAGCTTCGGACGCAGCCATTTTGCCAATCCGCCGCCCAGATTACGGCAATCCAGAGAAAGCGCCGAGGCTCTCAACGCGCAACGGGCGAAGATTCGGCGGCGCTGTCAATCACGACTGTAACTCTTATGCCGTCTATAATTGTAGCGAGCGACTGACTGCGCGGTCCGTCCGTCTGGCGGTAGAAGTCGGCGCTGTGTGTGTCGGAGCACGCTGCTGCCTGCGCGCCGCGCTTGTGAGCTGCAGACTCGGGTGGTTCCGGGAGTAACACCACTGCAGCCACCCACAACATCAACACACACGTGCGCGCCGCGAGCTGAGTGTGATTCGCCGCTCACTAAACTTCACGCGTTTGCCAATGCAGGCGTTATTAATGACGCAACTGACTCTCTCCACCTCGCAAATGGCGTCGTGTCCGCGATTGTTGAACCGCTCTATCTTCTCTCTCTTCTCTCACCCTCCGCATCCCCGTTATCGTCGCTAGAATATAATATAATATAGTATATATATAAATAAATACTATATATATATATATCATTCTGATAGCTATAGATACAGATTAGGATAGTAGCTAGGTAAATGGAATTGACCTATCTATCTATCTATCTATCCTACTATCGTATCTATCTATCTATCTATTCTACTCTATCTATCTATCTATCTATCTATCTATTTATTATCTATCTATCTATCTATCTATCTATCTATCTATCTAGCTATCTATCTATCAGTCTAGTCTATCTATCTATCTATCTATCTATCTAATTATGTTATTTATCTATCCATCCAAATCTAACCTATCTATCTATCTACTATCTATCTATCTATCTGACTATCTATCTATCTATCTAATCATCTATCGTATCTATCTATTATTTTTTATCTATCCCATCCATGCTATCTATCTACTGCTATCTATTCTATCTATCTATTCTATCGAGTCGCTATGCTAATCTTAATCTACTATCTATCTAAGTCTACTATCTATCTATCTATCTATCTATTTATCTACTCTATCAGGTATCTAATTATGCTATCTATCGCATCATCGCCATCCATCCACCAGTCCATCCATCATGCCATCCATCCATCCCATTCCAATCCATCCATCTGTCTGTCCGTCAGTCCGGTCCGTTTCCGGTACACGCAGTACTCAAGTGCACTTCGCGTCACGTTAAATCTACTGCCCACGTCAGCACTACTCGCACTCACTCGCTTGCAACTTCGCGTCAACTCACGTCAGCATCACCTCGCTCACATCAACTCACTCACGCATTCACTCACCACATCACGACACTCCACTGATCACTCACTCACGTGGGGATACAACTCACCACTACACGTCACTCAACTCCACTCACTCACATTGCCACTCAGCGGTCAGGTCACCACGTCAACTCACTCGAACTCACTCACTCACTCACTCACTTTGCT